CTGCCAGGGATGAAAAACAGTTGTGTTGGCCACCAACATCAAATTTCATGATGCCAGGAGGGACCATGCTGAGGTTTCTTACAGTGATCCCATTGATTTTGAAGAGGGAGAGCGCCTGGGCGTTGGTGTTGGGGTCGAACTTGTAGGTGATCTGGTTGAGGTTGTCGATGGAGCGAGCCTGGACCCGGAGCACCTCGGAGCCCAGGGGGATGTTCTCCACGATCACAGCCTCGTAGCTGCTGTTGGAGAACTGCACGGCCTCGTCCAGCTCGTTGAGCAGGCTGACGTACACGCTGCAGAAGCCCTGGTTGTTGGGGGGCGCCTGGTCCGTGGCAGAGACGTTCATCAGGTAGCTGGTTTTGGTCTCGTAGTCCAGGTACTCTATTGTCGTGATGAGACCCGTGCTCTCATCGATCTCAAACTTCCCTTCTGCGCCCGACACGATCTTGTAGTTCACCAGGCCGCCGTTCCCTGGGGAGGGAGCAGGAACGACAGTGCTGGCTGCACCAAGCACCCCGAAGAGGCGGTGCAGCTGATTTCACCGCTCCCCCCCACACTCCCACCGGGTGTGTCTCACCCCCACCTGTGTCCCGGTCGGTGGCCCGCACCACCACCACCGAGGTGCCGATCCCGGCCGTCTCCCGCAGCCCCAGGCGGTTGTACTGGCGCTGGGTGAACACCGGCACCTCGTCATTGACGTCCTCCACGTACACGATCACCTGCGGAACCCCCCGGAGAACCCACGGGTGAGCCCCCACCCAGCTTACACCGGTCAGGGGAAATGCATCCTTCACGGTGTTCGTGGAGAAACATTTCAGGGTGTTCAAGGCCGGGCTGGATGGGGCATTGGAGGAACCTGGTCTAGTGGAAGATGTCCCTGACATGGAGAGGGAGGGGAGAGAGTTGGAACGAGAAGAGATTTAACCTTCCAACCCTAAGCATTCTAGGATTCTGTGATAATCTCTTCTACAAACACCACGTGATGGAGAGCGAACACAAACGGTTTAACATCACAAATTTAAACAAGCCCTGTGGTCAGAGTGACTCAGTCCTTCCCTGGTGGGAGGGAGGTACACTGGGTACATCAATTCCTCTGTCCTTCGGGACCCCCTGCTCAAAACCCTGGAGAATCCACAACACAGAAATGCTGGCGAAATTCAGTGGGAAATTCTGCTCAAAGTTCAGTGGGTCGAGCTGCTGTTTCCCTGGGGACCATGTTTTCTCCTCCTGGTTTTCTGCCTGCTGCTGGTGCTGCGGGCATGTCACGCTCAGCCAGAGCCCACCCCACCGCTGGGTCTAAAAATAGATGCAACCAGAGGGCTGGGTTTGTGGGAACCATGGGAAGCTGGTGTGTCACGGCTAAAGATTACCACCACTGGGTCTTGGATTATTTAAATAGCTGCCTGGCCAGGAGACACGGTTTCCAACAGGCTGAGGCACAGCTTTTCCTCTCGGCAGCAGACCTGCACCTCACCGGGCGAGCAGGTCTCCCTCTGACAGTGACTGCAGCCCACTTAGCAGCCTCATTGTGCCAAAAAGTCAAGAGGAAAAAAGAAAAAAAAAATAAAACCAAAAACCCTCTAACAAGATCCCCTCCACCCACGGGCAGCCCCCGGAGACTTTCCGTCAGCATTTCCACGTCAGCTCTCTCTAATTTCCTGCATGACTGCAAGGGTTGGAAAGGACACAGCATCCTAAATATTTCGCATGGCCTCCCCTGCTGTCCAACCCTCGGTGAGGTGCTTACCCGCACGGAGCTCCTCATGGGTCCCTGCTCCGTGTTGTAGGCCTCCACCTCCAGGACGTGAGAGGAGTTCTGCTCCCGGTCCAGGTGCCGCACGCCGCGCATCACCAGCCCGGTGCTGGGATTGATGCGGAAGTGGTTGTGCTCGTTTCCTGGCGGGAGGGGGGAAAAAAACGAGAGGGATGTTGCCTGCTATTCTCACATCTATCCTGGTGACACACTGAGCCCTCCCCAAGGGGCTATTCTGGAGGAAGATTACTGAGAACAACCCCAACCCTACCACCTCCTGCCACATCAGGCTCAGCTGCATCAGGGTTTGGTCCTGGGACAAGCCGGAAGGAACTACAGAATCTCATCAAATAAGAACATGGACCAGAGGAGGCCATGAAGACGCTCCAAGGGTTGGAGAACCTCTGCTAAGGAGACAGGCTGAGACAGCTGGGGGTGTTCACCTAAAGAAGGGAAGGCTCTGGCAAAGACCTCAGAGCTCCTTCCAGTGCCCAGAGGGGTTCCAAGAGAGCTGGAGGGGGACTTTGATCAAAGGCCTGGAGGAACAGGACAAGAGGGCATGGCTTCCCACTGCCAGAGGGCAGGGTTAGATGGGATATTGGGAAGAAATTGTTGGTTGTGAGGGTGGTGAGGCCCTGTCACAGGTTGTCCAGAGAAGCTGTGGCTGGCCCATCCCCGGAAGTGCTCAAGGCCAGGTTGGATGGGGCTTGGAGCAGCCAAGGATAGTGGAAGATGCCCCTGCTAATAGCAGGGAATTGGAATAAGGTGGTTATTAATGTTCCCTTCCTAGCCAAACTGTTCTGTGATCCTAGGGTTCAATCTGTTGTCCATCCACACCAAATCATCCCCCAGCAATTAACACTAGTGCTGGAATTTCACTTAGGGATGGGGGAAATGTTTCTGAGGGCTGCAGAGTGCAAAAGGATGGAGAGCACAACCTCCTGAGGCTGCAGGTGTGGCTGCCAGAGCCTAGCACAAACCCACTAATGCACAAAGGAGCAGCTGGACTTACCCTTGACAATCCGGTACCACACTCTCCCGTTAACGCCTTCATCTGCATCTGTGGCCTTCACCTTCATGAGACAAGAAAAACAGTGAAGGGTAGAGAATTCCAGACTGTGACAAGTCCCCCCACCCTGTCGAGGTTGGTTGTCCTGCTCCTCCACCTGAGGAGCAGGGAGCTCATCAGCTGCAAAGAAAAGTAAGTTATCCTGCCCTCATCACCAGACAGCAGGGATAGTGGTCTCGGGTTTGCTGTTGGATGGACTGAAGTGGGAGCTGAGCCTGAGGACCGTGCCATGAAGCCTAGGGGTCTGTGTACAGGTGGAGTTGCCTCCATGGATCCTGTCCTGCACACCAATTCTTGTCCCAGTGGCGATGCTGCTGGGGATGGGGCATTGCTGGGATGATTTGAGCTGGGCAGGGAGAGCTCCTCCCACCTCTGGCGGGCACACAGCCCACGGCATCCCGGCGAGTCACCCAAGCAGCAGCACATGTACAACTTGCTAAGAGAAATGTGACTGCAACCAGCCTGGAGAGTGTTGGTGCTCAGGGCACTGGGCTGAGCCCTCGTGAGCCCCCAGGCAGTGGTGGGAGCAGCCCTCAGCTGTGATTCACTGCACAGTCCCGGCACACACTGAGTAAGCCGTTTATCTGTCCTGGGAAATCTAGGGCACGGGTCCCCTCTGGTGTCACTGAACAAGACTGCAGGGCTTTCCCTAAAAACCCAGCCAGCAGCCCCCCCACCAGCAGCTGGGAAGCGGGACCTGGTGGGGAACAGCAGGACAGGGAACCCAGCCCAGCTGGCACAGAGCTGCTGCATCTTCTCTCTGCAAACCCAACTCCCCACAGAGCATCCAAAGCTCGACTGCAGCGTGGCCGCATGGAAATCACCACAGTGAGGACACGGGGAAGGCCTCGGCCTTCATCCTCCTCCTGCTTCCTTCTGCAAGGCATCTTCTGCCACATCTTCTCCCTAAAATATTACCCACCAGCTTCCTTTTCCCAGGCAGGTGGGGATTTGCACCCAGACTGGTGCTGGAGAGAGGAGGGGTGACTGCAAAGGATGCATGTGCAGTGAGAATAGTGAGGGCTTCTACCCCCATCCCCACAACACTTGCAGGAGTCAGAGATGCTCTTCTGAAACGTGGTTGTGAGATGCTTTGAACTGCTCTTGTTCCCTTCCACCAAAACGCCCTGAGTCAGTAAAACCTCGGAAAATTATTCCATGTTCCACCGTGGACCCAGACACCTTCCTTTCACAGTGGGGAGTTCTCCCTCCCAAACCAACTCTTTCCACCCTTGGGGCTCCCTGAGTCTGTCTCTGGACAGGAGCTGGGCTGTCTCCTCTCCTGTGGGATGAATGGGCCCCACAGCAGCAGGCAAGCGATGCCCAGGCAGACCAGCTGCCTTGGCATGGCACCGGCTCCCTCCTGGGAAAAGCTACCATGTAGCCAGAGGAAGGAAAACAAAGGGATGGGAGGTAAACCTTTGCAGCTTTTTGTGCCATTCCCTGACCCGCTGTGCTCAGGAAAATGCATTTCAGGATGAGCCAACTGCACCCCGCAAACACCCCCTGAGCCATTCTCTTCCCAGCTCACCCCAAGTGTTTTCTGCATGAAACTCCAGCACGTAAACAGGGTGAAATGGGTCAGCCCAGGAGTCTGGGTTTTATTAAAACCCAGTAGTTTGCATTAAAGCAGCTTGTGCTCCTGCCAGCCTGCAAAAAGTTTGGCGGCTGCTGCTGCTTTGATCCACTGAGGTCCCAGCAGAGAGGTGGTACTTTGACAGACCGTCCCAAACTTGGGAAACCAATGGCACTGCAGTGCAAGCAGTGGGAGAAAAGCTCTTCCTGCCGCAGGTGGAAGGCACCTTGAGCAGCTGAGCACCAGTGTCTCCAGCCTGTTTTATCTCTCTGCTAGAGAGTGGGCTGCTGTCCTTTTCACAGCCCCCTCTCAAACACCCCCAGTTACTAGAAAGGTGTCAGAAAAGGAGGGGTGGGGGCAATAAAAGAATGGGGAAAAAGTAGAGCTGCTAGGAAAAGGGGCAGCAGGCACATGGAGGGCAGCCTGCCACCTCCTTCCCAGCACAGGGGGCTCAGCCCGGCACGTACCATTTAGCCTTCCCACAGGGACAAAGCCTGGGAAACACATCCCAAAGGGCTCAACCTCTCGCTCCAGGGGGACACAGCTCCGGGGCACCGCGGCACGGGCAGAGCCCGGGAAGGGGCTCAGGGCCCCTCGGCTTTGCATGCTCAGGCTGTCCCCATCTCTCTCCCACCCTCCCAGAAAGGAGGAGGGGGCTGGCAGCAGGCAGAGCGTGGTGGGAGAGGCGCAAGGCAGGCGTGCAGGAGTCAGAGCCCGGGCTCGGCCAGCTGGTGAGAGGTAGGGAGCACGAACCCCTGCGGCAAACCCAGTGCTGGCCCCTCGGGCTCTCCCCGAGGGGTGAGAGACAGACCCCCCGCCTGCAGAGATATTGCCTTCAGCCCTCCAGCCTCCCGGGGAAAGGGCTGAAAATGGGGGGAGATGCAAAGTTTGGGGTGGGTGTGAGGTCAGGTATCCCTCCTCCCTCCCCCCGCATCGTGTTGCTTTGTCTGTCCCGGTGATGGGAAAGCGGGAAAAGTCCTGTGGATGCAGCTCTGCCACTTAACAAGGAGGGAGATGGGCAACAGCATCACTCACAGTCCTCTGCTTTTGGTACCCACCCATCCAGGTCGGGAAGCTGGGTGTTTGGTACCCTCCAGCATCCTCCTCCTCCTCCTGCACGTGGAAAGACTCAGTGCATTGGGAAAAGATGGGGAGCTCCAGGAAAGCGCTGCTAAGCAAGATGGGGAGGGGAAGGAGAGCTGCTTTTCACCTGAGCTCTGTCACAGGCAGTGCCTGAAAACAGCATTTTCCTTGCAGGTTGAGGAAAGGAAGGGAGAGCACATGGAAAAGCTCACACCAAACCAGGCAGCTGGGCCAGGCCAGGGAGCAGTGCCTGGTGCTGGGCAGAATAACTCTCTCCACTGCTCATGCACGACAATAATTTCTTCTTCCTTTCCACCTTCCCCAGGGGCATTTTACCTTTTGCAATTTCTCATCCTTCCCTCTGATCCTCGGCTGGCTTGTTCCCAGGGCTGGGTCCCGAGCGCTCATGGGGATGTGCCATGTTTGGAACTGATCAGGCAGGGATGAGCCTTCTGGGGGGGGATTTCCAGGATGGACAAACCTCTTATTAACCCACCAGGGTTGATAATGTGGGGCTTGAGTGGGACAGTGATGCTATGAAAGCCCAGACTTTCCCTGGACCTGCAGCTCTGCTGCTGATCTGGGCATGAGGAGAGGTTGGACGGGAAGCAAGAGAACAGGGCACAGCTGAAAATAGCCTGGGAAAACATCAGCGGGATCCCTCCTGATGGGTTTCTATGGAACACTGTCAAGTGAATTTAAAACACAAACTCTACAGCCAGGACCAAGGGAGTGAAAAACAGCCTGAAGGAATTGCCCACGCCTCCCCCTTGGCTCTTAAGGAACAATGTAAGGTCACCAAACCGAACACATGCAGTCAGCAAATGCCAGCATTGAGGTAGCCCTGGAAACCTTGATTCAGGCTGCCTTTGGTGTGGGATATGCTGCAGCCCTGCCTGCTTGTTTTCCAAGCCTGGGAAGCACAGAGGAACAGCCTGTACATGGAGCAAGGGGTCCTTGGGATGGCTACTCTGCTCCCAAAGCTGAGGGGAAGGGGCTGCGCCAGGCAAGGAGGGGCTGTATGATAAAAAAATACTTTTGGGGTGAAGAGAAAACATCACTTTGGAGGAGGTGACAAGAACCCCAGGGGCTTGCTTGCAATACACACAGGGATTCTGTCAGTGTTCTCAGATGCTGAGAATTTTTGCAATTCCCATTTTCCAAGCACAGACCTGGCTCTGACCCGTGGAAACAGCTACATCTCCCCCAGAGCCACTCAGGCTCTGGGCAGGCTGATACAGTCCTTGCCCTGAGGCTGCCAGCACCACAGCTTGGAAAGCTCAAGCCTAGGTGATGTAAAGTATTCCAGAAATAAAACACATCTCCCAGATGCCTCAAACCCGACACCCAACTCTAGTGGAAACCTCTGATCGTGTTCCCTCTGCATCTCAGCTCGCTGTCTGGGACACAGATCCCGCAGGAGCGATTCTGAGGCAGGGTCCTGGCAAACCGGAGCTGGGAGCTCACCCATTTAATCCAGAGGGTACAGCTGGGGCATGGACAGCCCAATTTCAAGGGCTCCTGACCCCCTCAGCACTCAGCTTTGCTGCTCCCACAATGTTTGCTGAGGGTTGTTTCCTCCTGTGTAATTCAGGCGGTGAGCGATGCTCGTTTCTCCTGACACAGCATTTCGCTTTCCACCGGGCTTGTCTCCACCAGGGTGTCTCATAGTTTCCAATTAGCAATCAAAGATATGTCACTGATGTTCTCCCACCCCTTTTAGAGTGTTTTATGGTGAATGTTTGGCTGCTGCCCACACACACCTGCATGACTTTGGGATGGTGGCTGCAAGAGCAAACCCAGAGACCCTGGCAGTCCCTGCAGCCCTGCCTTTCTCCTCCTAAGATCTTAATGTTAAATTGGCTCAATCCAAATCCAAACTCTCCAGGAGACTGCCCAGCCACAGACCAGCCAAACAGCTCTCCATCACTCTTCTACCTCCCACATCTCTGTAGGAAAGGAATAAAGGTTTACGTCCAGCATACAGGCTGCAGCACCAAGACCACGGCACAGCAAGGTTTCCCCAGCCCTCATCTCTGAGCTGGGGGATGCCAGCCTCTGGCACAGCCTGTCTGGGACTGGAGGGTGTATGGGAGCTAAAAAATGGGTACAAACTGCTCTTGGGAGGATCTGACCAGGCCAGGAAAGGAGAGGACAGTCATCATCAAGTGTTAGGTCTAAGAGCTGTCACTGATGAGGCTTTGAGAAGCTGGCTTGCATCACTCTGCAGAACTGGCTGAGAAACCTGTGACATGCCTGAACGTGAAAGCAGGTCAGCAAAATGCCTGACACAAGGATTTTTGGTATGAGCAGGGTGAGGGTGTTACATTTCACCCCTCCAAAATAATAAAAGCAATGCCAGTGCAACACCACAGCTCGATGGGGAACTACCAGGGTAGAGCCTTAACCAAGTATCCAATTTCCTTGGGGTAATAATCAAAAAACCCCAAATGCCAGCCAATTCAACAAACCCACATTTCTGGGGAATAGAGAAGAACCAAAGCCCAGCAGCCTGGGGGGAGGATTCTGAACCTTATGTAGTGCATAGATATTTTATCTCTTCCAGAAAATCTTCATGCAACATGTGCATGCTCCCTAAAGGTGTCCTCACAGGGCCCAGGGCACAATGTGTACACAGCACTACCTCTGCTGGATTTCTTTGCCAGGTGGTTTTGCACTTCAGTTCAGGTATAAATCCCACCTCTGTGCTTTGCCTCCTGGGACCCCTTGTCTCCCCGTGCCAAAAAAAACATGGCTGGGAAAATCCTGCACATCAAGTCATGGCAAGAATCCACCAATTTAACCACAGGGTGGCTGCCTGTCCAGCTTTTAGGTGGTACGACCCTGAGATTAGCTCAGTTGGTCAGAGCACGGTGCTAATAACACCGAGGTTGAGGGTTTGATCCCTGTATGGGCCACTCACTTAAGAGCTGGACTTGATGAGCCTTGTGGGTCCCTTCCAACGCAGAATATTCTGTGAAATCCCCTGTGTCACTTCTCTGTATCACCTTGTGCACTACAGGGAGGATGGGCACAGAGAACTCTGGCAACGGGACATCTCCCACCCCGTCTCTCTTTGGGCTTCTGGTTTCAACCACGGAGCTGGTCCCATCCAGCATCCCACCCCCTGAGATGACACACCCACTGTCTATCATCGTCGCACTCGTCTGCATCTTCCTCCTCCTGGCGACCTTCCTCATCTTTGTCACCCTCTGCAAGCCAGCAGCGCTGGACCAGTCCCTGTCTGGAGCCCGGGAGTGGATGCCCCACCACCCGCTGGACGCCAGCGAGCCCCAGCTGAGGCTCTGGAAGCGCCTGGGCTCCCTGCGGGGCTCCATCAGCAGCTTCAGGAGGAGCAAGCCAGTGTCCCAGAGCCAGCTTGCCTGCCCCCAGAGCATCCCTGCCAGGCAGGACCGGGACACCGTGGAGTCCACCAAAATGTGATCTCGCTCTGCTGTTCCTTCCCAAGCTTTTGGTTCAAGCTCAGTCCTCTCCTCAAGCGTCCCTCGGTATCCTGTGCACCCTGGCAGAGCCCCTCTGAGCAACTCATTTCCAGGCAGTGGCTCTGTGAGGCAACAGGAGATTTTGCAATTTCAGGTTCCCAAATGCTTTCCAGGTTACTGTTTCCTGTCAGGAAAGGTGGAGGCATCCAAACTACACCCACGTGCATCTATCACCAGGCAGCCAAAAAAAAAAGAAATAAAAATCCTGCTGCTTCATTTCTTTTGCAAAACATTGTGCAAGTTGTGCTGCACCTGAACAGACAGCTTGGAAGAGAGCGGAGCAACCTGGCTGCCTAAAGAGGCATTCCTGCTCTCTGGCCCTGGGCTGCCTGGCTTTGGGAGAAAGGGATGGGGAAACATTCAGGAACTGTCCAGCTGCCCTAGGGATATGGGGATGTATTGGAAGGGAGAGACCTTCTGTAACAAATGGTTCACACTGAAGGTGTAAATTAAAGTAAAGCCAGGCGATGACCCATTTCTGTTTCCCTCTGGTGTTGTTCTGCAGAAAACAAACTTCCCCCAAATACCTCCTCTCTCCTTTGCCACAGATAAAGGGCCACTTCCAGGGGTATCCCCCTCTTTTGGGAAGTGGGTTCTAAGAAAAAAACACTTTGATGCCAGTCAGACTCGAGTTTTCAGCTCAGTTTGAAGAGTCCCAGGCAGGGGGACTCTCTGCCTACAACCCCCACTCTGGCACTACAGGCAGCTGCCTGACCCCAGAGACATCACCTACACCGTGCCACGGCACAACAGGTGATGAGGAGCTACAGCACTCCTGCTTGGGGACCGGCCACCCTGAGCACGACACACGGCTCCCAGCAAACCTTTGTTGCAGCAGGCGAAAGGCTCTTTTCTTCTCTCCCAGTGACTCACCCTGCCTGCCACAGCCAGGGACAAAGCTGCCCCTTTCCTTGTGCCGGGAGAGGTATTCAAGGCAGGAGGAGCCTTCCCAGGGCCCTCTGCAAAGAGCCTTTGGTGCCCGCTCCAGAAGAGCCCTGGGTTTGAAGGGATGCTGGAAGGCCTGGGAGGCCCGTGTGAATGCCTGCATTCATTCGCTGCTCACTGAGCCATTCAGCCCTGCCACCGCTCCCTCAAAGAGCAACAAAAATGAAAGCAAAGTCCAAATGCTTCTCTCCCTTCATTTTCTCAACCCCTCTCCAAGCATCTCTTTGCAGGCAACTCTTCTCCCTCCCCCTTGAGATCTCTGCCTTGTGAGGAGGGATAAAGCCAGCACAGGGCTTGGCTTTTCCCCTCTCCTACCCCCTGCAGAAATGGGGTGAATTTCCCAATTTTCCCTTGTTCTTCGCTGCCTTTGTCCCCGGTGCTCACAGTCCGGGTTAGCAGAGGAGCGTACGAGCAAGAACACACCCCTCCCCGTCCCAGGGGGAGACACCACTGACAGGGAGAGAAAACCTCTGCCCTGGGCTTCCTGCAGCTCGCAGTTAGTGCGGGACCCCCTCCTCCCACCCCAGGGTGGAAGAGCCACGTGCCTGCACTATGCTGCTGGCGGCCGGGATGTCCTCGGGGACGCTGACTTCGTAGCTGCTCTGGAGGAAGATGGGCCGGTTGTCGTTGACGTCCAGGACGGTCACGTACACGGTGGCAGTCCCGGTGCGCCGGTTCCCGGTGGGGCCGTTGTCTGTACAGGAGAGAAAGGCGAGGCGGGGAGGTTCAGCCACCTGTGAACTAAAATCCCTCGTCTTTCCTGCAGCTTCCAAACCCCACACTGAGTGTTTGGTTTGGTTTTGTTTTTTGTTTTTTTCCCCCTTCCTATCCTGAAAGGAAAAGCAAAACCACCCCCAAGCTCTGCCAAGGAGCCCAGTGAGGCTGGAAATGCAACTCGTCGTTAGAGAGGATTTGCAATTCTGCACACCAAGTGATGTGTGCTGGAAGGGACTGCTGTAGGCCAGGGATCTGGGAGATGAAGACAGGTAGTCACAGAGCACCAGGATGGGTTGATGTTCCATACACAAGGACATGGCAGCATGGCTCTTGGATTTGCAGGAAGGATGAGGCACTGGGAAGCATCAATTGGGTTTGGTTTTTTCAACATGCCTGATGCAGTGAGTGCTAAACCCACCCAGCTGGAGCCCATGGGATCTGGTTCCTGGGAAGACACAGGCAGCCTGACATCCATCGGAGGAGCAGAACAGACCCTTTACCCCTTGGGATCTGGTCCTCTGTGCCCAGCCAGTGCAGCATCCCTGCTGCAGCCCCCTGTGGCACCTGCAATGCTGTGCCCTCGAAATTTCTGACTGGCCACTTATTTCTCCTTTCAAAAGGGGCATCCAAGTGGCCTGTAAAGAGGCACATCATTATAAAGCTCTGGGGATGACAGCCAAGCTGTGTTTGGCACACGGGCCCTCTGCACGTGCCAGGTGGCTCAGGGTTAATCAGCAGCCACAGAGCCAAGGGCTGGCATGGACTAGGGGAACAGGGCTGTGGTGCTGGCATTTTTGGGTGGAGGGCTGCCCTGGACAGTACAGAGCCTCTCAGGATTTTGGGGCCCTGCCTTCCCCAGGGGAAAGGGAAAGCCTTTGGGCTGGACAGACCTGAGAGGTACGAATATACTGTCTGAAAAAGTCATGGTGTGACTAGGGCATATTAATTCACGTGAGTTGTGAAATGCTTGGTTGTGAAACCAAGCACAGGCTGTGGTTTACAGAGTGCCTCAGAGGTTGCTGCCTCTCTGAAACACCTGCACGGCCACCCCATGGAGCTGTGTGGCAGAGGTCCCATGGGATCAGTGGGAAATCCTTACCAATGGCCTCCAGGATCAGCGTGTACGATGCCACCGTCTCCCTGTCCAGGCTCACGACTGTCCTGACCACCCCATCCCTGAAGCCGACGCTGAATTTGCCATCCTGGTTCCCACCTGCAGCAAAGGACAAGGACCAAGGAATTATAGAATCCTGGGACGTTTTGGGGAGGAAGAGACCTTAAAGATCATCTTGTTCCATCCCCTGCCATGGGCAGGGACACCTTCACTAGACCAGGTTGCCCACCCGCCCCCTGCCCACCCAACCCCACCGGCGCACGGGGATAACAGAGCGGCCCCAAAATTCCATTTCTGGCTTCCAAGCACAAACAGAACGTTTCACACACGTGAATGCCACACCCCAGCCCTGGCTCCCCAGCCACGTCCTGCCCACCCTCGTGCCCTTCCTGGCCGCGTCCCAGGGATGCTGGGGGTCAGCGGTCGCCCCCAGGGCAGGGCACAGCGGAGCGGTCAGCACGGCAGGGAGCCAAGCGGGGCTGTTCAGCAGAGGGCGATGCTGGACAAGGTTTGCAGGGGCTGGGAAAGGCATTGCTGAAGCATTGAACGCCCTGGCCAAGGTCCCGGGCAGCCCTGCAGCCGAAGCTCCTGTTTCACGTGGGGCTCGTACCTGTGATGAAGTAGCTGAGCTCGGCGTTCAGCCCCACGTCGGCATCCGTGCAGTTGAGCCGGACCACTTTGAAATCCCGGGCCACGTCCTCAGGCAGCGACACGTTGTAGACGGCTGGGAAGAAGGTGGGGTTCTCGTCGTTCACGTCCAGAACTGAAAAGGGGAGCAGAGCTGAGTGTCCCCCACCAGGGCCGCCCGTCCTGCAGAGGCCAGGCTGATGCCTGCTGCCCTGAGCATCCCAGGGAATGCTTTGCCTGACTCTCTCTGGCATTTGTGTGGTGGGGGCGCCTGCAGAGCAGTTGTAAGGACTGGTCCCCACGGCTGCAGGCTGTATTTACTAGCCTCTGATACATACAGATCCCACTCCTCACAAGCAAAAAAAACCACCTTACATCACTGTAACTCAATTTAGCATTTGCACCAAACCCATTTCCATCCCCATTTGAAGAGAAAGCTGGGGCTTAATAAAGCTCAGTATTTCCTGGTGTATGGCAGAGAGCTCCAGAGGTGCAGGACCAGGAACTTCTTTTCCAAAGTCAGGCCTGAGGACAATCCTGGGCCAGTTTATTTCCAGATGATGCTTAACCTCAGCACTACGGTCACACGAAGCCAGTAAACAGCAATGCATTAAATTAAAGACAGGCCACACTATATGGGTCCAGCTCTGAACTGGGAGTGCGTGGGCTATCGAGGCACGCAGCTGAGGGGAATCACATGCTGAAGCAAAAGACAGACTGAAAGGAAAAGCAACACTGGGGATGGGGGAATGGAGAAAAAACCAACAGAGAATTTGGGGACCCTGCCAGAAAGATCATGTTTTCCCCATCTCTGTGCTGTGCTGATGGCAGGCACAAAGCCTGCATGGACAGCAGAGCGATGGGCTGCCCTTCCCTGTGTCCTGTCGTGCACAAAAGCAGGCAGGATCCTGTTTTCAGATCATACATCCGTCTGATTCCTCAGCACATCTCCCATATACACCACTTTTCCTCCACGGTTCGGAAGGGTCTTGGTGCCCTCACCTTTGACAGTCAGGGTGCTGGTGGAGCTCTTGGAGGGCACGCCGGCGTCGCTGGCCACCACCCGCAGGTAGTACTGGGCGATCCTCTCCCTGTCCAGCACGGTCGTGGAGGTGACGAGCCCGCTGGTGCTGTTGATGAGGAAATCCATGCGGGGCATCCCCACCTGCATGCGGTACGTCACCTGCCCGTTCGGGCCCTCGTCCAGGTCGATGGCCACTACCTGGGGGGGAGAGCAGGATGGGGGACACCTGAGTGTCTCCTGAAAATCAGGGAACATCAGGGTACAGAGACCCTGAGTGTTTCTTTGCCCCCAGGGATGATGGGATGAAACGTAAGGGGCCTCAGAGGAATCGCCCTGCCAGGAGCGAGCACGTGGGTTGGGGATGCCACAGCCCCTTCTGCATGCCCCTAGTTGCACTGCTAGAGGATGGAGAAGATGGAGAGGATGCACTCTTAGCCAACTTTGCAGAAGCAATGGCAGTGACAGCAGCAGCTCCCAGCGTGGGGCACGGCAGCAGTGGGACACACTCACCTGGAAGACAGAGGAGCCTGCGGGAAGGCCCTCGGCGATCTCGGCAGCAAAGGGCAGGTTTTGGAAAGTGGGGTCGTTGTCGTTCAGGTCCAGCAGATTGACAAAAACTGTGGCACTGCTGGTGGCTCTCAGGGGTGGCCTCCCACCTGTGGAGGCCAGGAATGGGGTCTGAAGGTTAATACTTGAGCTGTTTCCACTCCTCTCCCCTAAAAAGGAATCCTTCCTCCCTATGCAGACAGTAGTGCAGGATGGGGTGATGCTCCTGATCTGTCATGGATGATTTGTCATGGTTGGAGCCCTAGACGGTTTGGATTGGAAGAAACATTAAAGACCATGGAGCTCCAACACCCTGCCATGGGCACGGACACCTTCCACTAGAGTAGGTTGCTCAGAGCCCTGTTCAACCTGGACTTGAACACTTCCAGGGATGGGGCAGCCACGGCTTCTCTGGGTCTCTGAATACAGAACTCCCTCCTAACATCTAATCTAAATTTCTCCTCTTTGTAGTTTAAAACCATTACCCTTTCTTCTATC